CTGCGTTTAAAACTTTTTTATTTATCTATTCAAAAATTCGGAAGTCTAAAAGACAATCATTTAAATGATGTTGGCCATTTTTGAACGTCACTGAACATTTTGAAATTTAAATACAAAATAAGTCAATTTGTATTGACCCAATTATTTAGAATTAAAAACCTGATTAAAGAACGCAATGAAGCAATATTTTAGTGTTGCTATATATATTTCAATATATAATAGATTATATATGTATAATAATTTTCAAACTTTATTTAATTATTACTGACTAGTTCGTACCTTATACATAATCACATTACTTGGTATTCATGTGATAGCCACGGCCTCTTCTTTGCCTTAGTGTATAATTATAAGTACTTACTAGTTGGGTCACTTTTAATAATTTATTTTTATATCTACTTTTCATTATTGTTCTAAACCCTCGGACTCTACAATCCCGTTAGAACCTCGATGTTAACCAAATGACCAAAATCCAAACATTCAAACTTAGTCAATAACACCCACTTATACCATATACTTCTTTTTTTGATTATTACACACATGTTCCTATTATTCATTCCTATATTATTCCTTCTTTGTTTCTACAAATAAATAAACCATCACAATACTAACAGACAAGCATCTTTTTATATTAAAGAGTTTCATGTTACATTAGCAAATCAATTATTTTTACAATTTAGTTATTTTTAATGTATTTAAGTTTTTGTTCGAGCACTTTCTAAACTTTCAACATAATTAATTAAAATTTTCATGTTAATTAAATAATGAATTATCTGAATGAAAAAAAAGGAAGTTTCAACGAGTTTTCATATTTAAAACGCTATTTAAAAAAATTAGTTGCTCTGAATGAGAGCATTTTTATTTTAATTTTTCAATTGATATAATTTTTATATAATGAAAGTTTTTATAAAGGTCCATTATTTTAATTTAATATAAAATACCACAAAACCTATTTGTATCACAGAATATACATTTTCTTTTCATAGAATTTGTTATTTAATTTATTTTTAATTCTAATTGATATAATGAATTGTTCGATCTAGATGATACCGACAACATATTAGTATGTACTGTCTATGTCAATGAAACAAAACTCACATCATTGCATCAAACAGTCGGTATGGCGTGTTATTACGCTGATGAGCACATTATGTCTTTAAACACTTTTGTACCAGGCAAAACAGTTGGAGAGAAAAAAAAGTTGCACGAATAAATAAACCAGCCCAAAGGTTGTTACAAAAAAGACAATGATGTCTTCTTTTCTTTTAGCGTTTTATAATTCTTAAAAAAAAATATTTTTATATTTTATTGCACCCATTTTATAGTGACATAATAAGTCCACAAAATTATGTTGTAGTTATTTTACTTTCGTACCATCATTATATTTGTTTGAAACAGGATTATTATTGCAATAAATATTAACAGTAAATGGTGGCGTGAACTCTATAAAGTAGTGCACTACTGTGTCGAGCTAAATAAAAAATTACCAATCGACATTTACTCAGCGTGTACCACAAAAAATTTTCAAAAATGTTTTATGAAAAATCATAGGTAATTTTTTTTTCTATCCAACGTTAAAATTTTTATGGACATCATAAGAGAATAAAATTATTTTATAAGTATTTTACAGAAAGGTACTGTAAACTCTTTGATCATAAACTATATGAAAACTATCTAGCTTTTCGTAGTCATTTATTTTCGAAATCCATTACCATTTGACACAAATGATCATACAGCATAAGTAATATTCTTACTGAACTGTGTATGTCTAAAAGATAAAATATTGTATGCTTATACTTCTAGAAAGACAAATTTGTAAACTCATAAGTCATAAATATGTCTATGTTTGTTTACTACGCAAGTGTTAAAAAAATCTCGAATTTTTTATTAAGACTAAATTCAAACAAGTTGACTAATATACATCAAGTAAAACAGATATATATATATATATATATAAACATATAGTTTTTATCTAAAACACAGATTTCAAGTTTGAAATTTTAATTAATATTCTATTAAGTTAATATCTTTTAATCTAATATAATATTTTTAGAAAAATAATGTTTGGTTATGTCGTAACTTAAAAGATTGAACGAGAATAACGTTAAGTGAATGTATATTACTAGAGTACATGTGATAGTACAGTAGTCACATTATGTTCGACTGACACTTTAAAGATATCAGAGTTGTTTAAGAGCTGTTATTATAGAAAGGATAACAGCGTATCACCAAGGTATATGCTGGAGCGAAGTATGAGACACAAATACATTGTGTACTTCAAAGAAAACCGAAGTATGAGGTGTAAACAAAGTGCAAGACACAGATACTCAAATAGTTCATTTTTAGAATTTAAACAGTTCGTCAAATACTGATAATTGCACTTATAAAATTATGTCTTCAAAATTAATTTTTTTGCTTAAATATTTTAAAGTAGTAATTTGAAAATATGATCACTTAGTTCTTTAACTTTTTTTTCGATCCATAGGTTGACCTTTATTTTCAGTTGGATAATTTTATATTATCATCTATCCTAGATTTTGGCAAAGATTTCATAGAGGCTGTTAAGAAAATATTTGGCGTCGATTCAGCTGTACTGACCCAATTGCATTCAGTTGTACAATACGAAACCGTATTAAGTTTATATAAAAATCTATATAGACATATGCGATTAAACCATATTATTAAGAAATTTGTTCGTAGATAGGTCATATTAATAATTATTAGTATCAAAAGAATACATTACTAATATAAAAACGGTTTAAATAAAAAAGATGTAACTGATTTTAACAACTAAATCCAACCTTGATAATATCGTCATGTATTACTGGATGTTAGTTAATTTCGATCGAAAATTATTTATTTAAATTTTGATATTAGGAAAGTATAAAAATAACTGATTGAGGAAGCTGTGAATTTTAATACCATATGTGTTATATGATATTAAAATTCACCGCTTCCTACAAACTATGTAAGAAAAGTTTTTTGCTGTTATACGATACAAACCTTAAATACTATTAAATTTTATGACGCTCTGTTGAAACTATGTGTCAATTATTGAAAAAAATGTTAAAAATGATAATTCAATTAAATTATCAAGACTTTCCGAATCGGAACCTTCACTATTAAAACGATTTCACAGATAAATTATTTTATAATGCTTATTGTTTTCTAATTTTTCAATTTAGTCATCTAACGAATTTTTAATCATAAGTTAATTTTATCAATGGAAAAACCTCCAGTTAATTCACTACCTATTTTTCACTATTTATCTTTTAATTAACTATCTACTAATTTTTTGAAAGATTAAATGATTTAGTTATTACTTAAAAAAAAAAAATTACTTCAAAAATTTACAAAAATAAAGAGGTTGGATTTAAACCTATGGCCCACGGCGTTGAAATTCAAAATTATCCAAAACGGTTTAACAATATAAAGTCTATGACTGAATAATATCTATGCTTTACAAAATAAACATTGTACCATAGACCTTAAACACTATAAGCACAGAATTGATAAGATCTTATCTATTATGTGGCATAAGTACCTTATGAGTAAATGTCTATATATGTTACATGATAAAATGAAGAAGCATAGACATACCAAATAACCTTTATTAACCAGGGATATATAATAAAACATGTTATCTATGATAACAACAAAGACTTATTATAATACCATAGATAAAATAAATTTTATTTGTGATATAAACGTATAAGTTTTATCTTATCTGTGATAATACTGTAATGATACTAATAATAATTGTTTTTCTTCTAAGTAAATTTTAATTTAATTTGATATTCATATATCTATGTTAGTTTTTGTTTTCCATTTTACATGTTACTGTATTTATTTAATTAGTAAATATTTTTACTTCAGTAAAAATATTCAATAAATACCATAAGCCTAAATTGCAATAGTTAGATATTAAAGTATAACTGAAAAATTAAAATTAAAATATATTGAATAACGAGTATTAAAATTAATTCTTGAAAAAACCTACTCAAAAGTGATAATTATTTCAAATCATTTTCTTGAAAGTTAGGTTAAATTATTCACACAAGAATATATTTTGCAGAAAGACTTTATAAATGTGTAATTTGTATAATTTTATTCTCTCATAGTTCAAACTTACCAAGACACATTGGAATTCATATTGGAGAAAACCCATACAAATGTAAAGTATGTTTAAAATCATTTTCCTAGAAAAACAGTTTAATTAATCACAAATGAACACATTTTAGATAAAGATCGTTCAAATGTGAAATATATTTAAAATAATTTCTCGAAGGTTATGTTTAATTAATTATACAAAAACACATTTTAGAGAAAGATCGTTTGAATGCGAAATTAATACAATGTCATTCACTTATAATTCTAACTTGACAAATGACTCAAGAACACATTCTAGAGAAAGATTGTTTGAATGTAAAGTATGTTTAAAATCATTTTCCTTTAGGTAATTTTTGACAAAACATATCAGAACATATATTGGAGAATTTCTATATAAATGTAAAAAATATGCTTGAAATAATTTTTGTTGACATATAATAGATCAAATATAAATTCAATTTTAATGAGCCATATGAAATCGGAGTTAGTTTTAAATCATTAACTGTTATGAATTTTTTTTTATTGCATGCAATATTATCCCATGAAAATAAATTTAGCAATTTATACCTTTACTATTTTATAATAGTATTGAGAAGTTTTTATTCTGACTTTTATAGTTCTACATATTTTAGTAGTGAAGCAGAAAAAAGTTTAATGATAAAAATAGTCATGCCAGTGCCTCACCCCAAGTTTATATTTTAAAATGATAATACTTGTAATGTATAAGGTCTTCACAAAAAAACATACTTACAGTTGTTTACATGAATAAATTCAACTCGAATAAATTTAATAACCTATTATAGGATTAATTTACTGGAGAAATATCTCTTCAATAACCCTAAATAACATTTTTTATAGTACAAAAACTAAGATTGTTTTTTGCTTAACAGAAAAGAAGAATCAGCAAGAAACGCTCAACTGCCTGTTAGCGAGATCTCTATGTAACGAAGACCCATCTTGTTTCAAAATAATCAACCTCATACCGAGTTTGTGTGGCAACGAAATAGGTAAGTCCATTAGTGGGTATGTTAACGGGTATATAATAATTCACAGCATGAAATCTGAGTATAATGCAATAATTGGAACTACCTTACGGGTGTAATTACTGGGGCACGAGAATTTTGAGCTGTACTTGAATCATTTATTCGACGAGGCTTGTTTCATGTCATCGTGTACGTGAGTGTGTCTTTGATATTTTTGATCTTTTTGATAACAAAAGGATTAAGTGAGTTAAGTGCACAAAGTTCTAATAAAAAGCAAAAAAATATTACAATGGACGCTGAACAAAAATAAAAATCCTAAGAGAAAAGTCCTAAGGTGCGTAAAACGCGGTACGTCACTAGTGGGTGTTTAAAAAGGAAAGTGTCTGCAGATATTTTAACGGAAAAACTTTTTGCGTGACTAATTAATCATTCAACAAAAATAAAACCTGCTTTGTTAACATTACCATTAATATATTTTTATTTTATTTAAAAATAGAAATGTTTTTTTCACAATATGATTTATTGACCAAAGGGTTAGATTCCATTTGCATCAATCATATATTATTTCGACTAGCAGTAACTGCATTACAATTTTAACTGTTTAATATACTGATGTTTTAAATTTCACGTAAAATTTTGAACCTTGATCGTTATAAATAATTTGGATTAAATATAAAATTATAATGATTTTTCCCATTATGGTGTTTTATGCATAAAAATGCTAGCAGAGTTAATTAGTTCAATATTAATTTAAGACTTTAATTAATTGTAAATTAATTCATTATTTTATTATTATTACATCATTATTTTATTTTAATTTTTAAATAAGCTCGCTTAGTTATTAAAATATTTTGTACTCAAAATAATACTTATAATATTTACTACAGCATACCTTATTTTATATAATAACAATGTATTTATGTTGTAATATTGTCGAGTTCGATAATACAAACAAAAATATTTTATAATCAAAAAAAAATTCAATTCTTCATTATTATTAAACAATATAACTTTAATACTATACTGTTTAAAACTCTAAAACAACATAATAGCAAAATTTTCTTTACATCTCACATGTGTTGTAGTTTGATATCGTTCATTATGTCATGTTTTCGACTTATTTTTTTATTTTTCCACTTTTTCACTCTCGCTTAGTTATTAATCATAATTTTTTTTTTACAATTCTTAAAAATCTTTCTTGCTTTACCTAAGCTTCATCCAGTGGTGTATATACATGAGAGGTTACCTGGAGTAGCTATCCTAGGGTGCCCTTGGGACGTCTAAGTCGATGAATATGATATAACTTTAGTAAAAATGTATGTAATTTTATTAAAATTCATGTTTTATTTTATTTATATAATAAAGTATTTCAACATAATAGATGTTTTTAAAAGTTTTTTTATTATAATATTATATTATATTGTGTAGTGTTTTATTGTAATATGTTAACATTAAAAATAATGATTTTTTTACAATTTTATTATTTTTTCTTTATTTGAGGATAATCGTAATTTATATTTTTACGTTTATTCATATTCTAAGTTTTTTAATAAGCTTGAAATCAAAGGAATATTAGAAATAGCGTAGTCAAATATTTTTTTCAGGATACGCTAATTTTTTTTTTGCTCAATAAAAAATTTCAGGCTTCATTTCGTACAGTATTATAACAAATCTCATTACCAAAAAATTAAATTATTAATTAATTTATGTTAATTTTTTTTAAGAATAATAATCAATAATTAAAAATGAATTAAATTTTTGCAATAGAAATAGTAAGGTTACATTATATGTTAAATTCAAATATAACATATTAATATTCTTATAATTATAAGAATACTTCTAAAAATAATTTTTTGATCAATTGATTTTGATTTCTCAAATAATAATTTCGTATTTCTAAAATATTTAATAACTCAATCAAAACTAAAAAATAACTATGTCCAATGAGCATAATCGTAATATAATCATTCTCTTATTGCAGACAAAAAGAATGTGTTAATCAAAGACCAATTATAGATTTACTATTAATATATAAGTTGTAAACTAATCTCATTATAATATAGTTTAACTTTACAAGGACCCCGAGGAGGATCCATCCTTTTTTTTTCGACAGTCGGCTTTACTGTGGACCGCACTGGAACTGCCGTTGGGCATTACTTCAGGGCGGCTCACACCGTCTATCTAATTCACACCACCACGTTGTGAAGCTGCCCGAAATTAATCAAGAGCTGATTCGCAACGTGGTGTGGCCCCCTTCCGTTAACCGGAACCCAGAATGGGAACCGTTTGGGAGGGTTGGTAAAATAACTCACAAAACAAAAACAAGAACCTAAGGCACCGGCCTAAACCAGTGCCTCATGTCCACCCTGACAGCACCCGAGGATACTGTCATCTCATGGAACAAAGGAAAATGAAATAATAGAGTTAGAAGAAATTAACCATTTTACATAAATATAGTCGTAATCAAAATCTATACAATCATTAACTAGATAAAAAAAAATATGACCACATGGTTACATAACCAATAGAAATAAAACATCATTTAATAAAAAGCTACGCACGGTAAAAGAATACAAAAAGAGAAAAACAAATATACCACATTACAATAAGATGTCCAAATCCATATCATTAATGTACAGTGCCATAATGATGGCGATGTCAAAATGAAAAAAATGCTTCTCCATCTTTGAAGTTGCCGGTAACAGAAAGTAAAAATTGAATGTGATGATGTTGTGCCAAAGGTATATAGATGACGAATGAAGATTCTTTTTTGAACATAACCCAGATTTTTTTTATGCCGGCTTGATCACACACGGGAGAGGGTACTTTACAGTGTGACTACATGTGTTATTTAGAATAAGGAAATAGGCGGTAAGAACAATTTTTTAACTTAATAAATAATTATGTGTGTATGTGTAGCACTGAATCTACGGATGTATGACGCGCACTGTTTGAATACAGTTACCTGTGACCTTATACTCATGATAATTTTATTACTTTACAAAATATTCTACTATTATCTTGTTTTTCTTTCGCCTCTCTCTCGTCTTTATACTAGCTACTTGGGGTCGGCCAACCGTATCCTAAACCGTTTGAAACGATCTCCCACATAATTTATAAATTAAAAAACAGTCTTTATATCACTCCCAATTACATCCAATCATTTTTTTCGGTCTTCCTTCGACGTTCATTATCATAACCATTCTTAAAGGTTTCCGATTTCTCTTTTCTCTTTCCAAACTAACTAAGTCTATTTTATCTAATCTTATCCATGGTCAACCTTACCCTTATGCTTCTTCTTACATATTTAATCCTTATCGTATCTTCTATTGTCACTCCACTTATTCATCTAAGCATTCTCATATCTGCTACACTCAATCTTTGCTCTAATTTCTTGTCATCCTACCAATACACTGACCATACAACATATTTGGTCTCACTATAGTCTTAAATTTCTCTCAATTTTCTCGTATTTTTCCACATTAAATTATTAGCAAACAATATATTTCACGGTATCTCTCTTTATATTTTCTAAGTAATTTCATATACTATTATAGAAAATATATAAGAATATAAATCAGAACCTTGAGGCATATTGACCCTGAAACCCTTTGTTTCTCCATGTACACTTTTACCCTAGTACAAATAATCTCTCTCGGCTCTCTATTATCCGCTTTCTCCAAATTTATAAATACCATTCATAGATATTTCTTTTTCTCTATATACTTTTCTATTAACTGTCTTACACAAAATAACGGCTAATAGGTCACACACATATTACCCATAGTTATCTTATGACCAAAAAGATTCTCAAACCTGTGAATCCTGTAATACACGACTTACAGTTAAACACATAATGTCAGAATGTATCAATTTCATGAAAAACAGAAGACGGACTGGATTACCAGAACGTCTTTCAGAGTTTCTTGGACTAGAAACTAAAGCAATTGAAGCCACTCTAAAATTTATAAGAATGTCTGAATCGCAAAACAAAATATAAAATACAAATCTCCTTAAATTTACTGTAATAATTCATGTTTTAAATATTAGTAATAAATTGTAAAATACCAAAATTGTAATTGTTTACCCAATGGCCTATATTGTCGCGGGTATTTATTAAAAAAAAAATGACGGTTCTATCGTTAACTTTCCAGACAAAAATACAAAACTGATTTTTAGTTATGGATGTCTTATTTCTTACTCTCTTATCTATTAATAATATAATATCCTACTATATTTGACAAATTCTTAGTACTTGAATTTCTCAATTCCAATTGGTATAATACATTAAAAGATTAAAATCAAATTTTTTTTTTAAACGCTACGCATTCATGTTTTTTTAATTTATATCTACAGTTTTAGTGTTCGTCTATTGTCGTCATAACTACATCGTTGGGTAAACAATCGATGCAACTGTTGTATTGGAAATATTGGCTAGATTGTATTGAGCTGATTGTAATGTTAAATTGACTGTAATATTTATAACCAAAACTGTGAACATCAATTTAAATTGGCGTGTCGTATCTTTAATCTGTATACGCCCTTATACATAATATTATACTGTTGTGCACCTAAAAGTTCGTGTCACAATAGAAATATTCATTATCATTTCACTATACAAACAAAACGAACTTTTGATGTTATTGCGCTTCACCAAACAAATATTTTTTTAAATCTAATAATAACTTCCGTCAGAATATTTTCAACTTGGACTAATCCGTCAAACCTCTTGTCACGCTCGTGTCGTTCTTCAGACAGCACAATATTTTCCACTCGATTTCTTTTCTAGTGTTTATAAGTTTTCGCGGTATGACTCCCTTACATTTATTATTTACACTGTTTTGTGTTTACGAGTCTGTTGACCTATAATAATGTCCAATACAGTTTATTAAACAGAAATGTATTTGGTTCTCTTTTATATAATAATAATTTATTCTTATAAAAGCAGACTTAATATAATATAAAAGAAAAAGAAAAAATCGAAGGTACTCTGTACTAAAACTTGCTAGATTAACTGTATCGATTATATTGTTACTATCAAGGTCAACTCACCTTAATATTTCATATTACATAATTAAGAATTCATAAATAATGTAACTAACAAAATGAGATAATGAATTTTTACAATAATGAGACAATTTAAAATAGTAAAATATATTTTACTATTAATCAAACGAATTTTGAATTTATCGGAAATTATTATTATAATTTTAACCTTTCTAAGTAATTTAAATTATTTGAAAACTATTAGCCGCATTTTTTTTTGGTTAATTATTAATTATAGGATACTTTAAAGGGGAACAATAAAGGTTTGGTATTGATTATACAATTTTGAAAATTATACTTTAATAACTTTATTTTGTCACAGTTTCGTGTTCGACGACGACGGTAATCAAGTGCCGAGCTGCCCTGAAAACTCTTCAAGCGTTTCCGTTTTTCAAGCCTACATGTTTATGTCGTGAACCAAAAATCGATCATGAATGTAACTCTTTCCGAAACTTCTTGTTTGACCATCCTTGTAATTTTACACAACGAAAAGGTTAGTGCAATTATTACTCATAATTTAAATTAAGATAATGTACTATTAAACTTTTCTAGTAAAATTAAAAACAAATTTTAAATAATATTAGCTACAATTTATCAATTTTTACTATACAAGATTTCTATCAATGAACATTTGATTATGAGTTAAATTTTAAAATTATAGATTTAAAACAATTTCATTCTTGATAAAAATAAAAAATTATATTTTACTTTTGAAGTTAAAATTTATTTATTAAATTTTAGGTTATATAGTTATTCAATTATATAGCAATATTAGAAAAGAAACAAATAATTTGAAAAAAAAAACGCTTTATTATAAAATACAAATCCTGTAGGTATTTGTATAAGAATAACAATTAGAACAAAATGTAAAAATCGAAAAATGCTGTTGCTATTTGTTGTTTTTATTTACTTTATTTTTAATTATTTGTTTATTATTTTACTAAACCAATTTTTTTCAATTTCCAGTCTTTAGAAATTTTAATCTGAACACTGGATAACAATAAATTATTTATAAAATGATTTAATGTGCGCACAATATACCATAGCACGGTAACTCAGGATTAATTCGAGAAATTATATGTTTTTAAATAGCCTTACATCCTTTCAGATAAACTTAGCATAGATAAATCTATATATTAAATAAATGAAAAATACGTTTCTAAATGGACTTGAAAATTTTATGAGGATATTATATGCTGTGTATTATCCCTAAAAAATGCTATACAAGTTATAAAATTAAGTTAAGCTACATTTTAAGTTCCTCAGAACATGCAATTATATCCGATATCCTATTTGTATTATTGACATTTGAGAATTACCCCTTTCTACTCGTTATTAACCATTAGTTTCACTGAATTATTTCTTAGCAATAAAAAACTATCGTGGTTTCAGACTTCAAAGTAAGAATCTTTAATAAAAAACTACTAACTCGAAGAAATAAAGCGATTACTGCCGACATAGTGTTCGTGACCCATACTAGATAACATTGTGCTTAAAATACTTGGCCATAAGCACTTGTTTTCTTGTGAATCCGCTTGGATTCAATTTTCAAGTAACTCTCAATCAAACTGAAATGTTTTTTATGCGTATAGAATACCAGATGTCTTTTCTTGTATTTTCTTTATGTTTTTTCCACTCACAGTTGTGATAAATGTGAAGTAAAAATGCTGGAAGTTTTTTGTAAATAAATCAGTACATTCAACAACTACACTACATATTCGTTTGTAATCGTAAACTATGTTATTGACTATAGAAAATTTCAACACATTATCATAAACATAAGACCTCTAAAAAAAATAAATAAAAAATTGATTGTAATTTTAGAACTATTTTTGAATGAATATAGTATTTACTATTTTACTTATTTATGCATCTTACATTTCTAAACAGTTGCAAACCTATAAGTTATTATCAGTAGCATTTAGTGCTCACTGGCAGATATAAAATTTTATGTGCTGTTCAAAATAAAAGAATAATATCTCATCATGAAATTTTCAATGGTAACAAGTTGATTAGTATTTTTAATAAATGTCCGAATATTTAATGTGTACCAATTATATATTAAGTGATATTTATTTTTCAAGCTCATTGTATTAACTATTTGTATGTGTCTATTATTATTGAAATACTTAAAAAATCATTGTCCAAAATGATTGCTGAAGTTAATCTATAATAAAAACCTATATAATATTAATATTAACGAGTAAAAAAGGCTAATATCAAGGTAACAAAAAGGTATTCATTTGTTTTTTTTTTTGGTGTTTAATTAATTATATTTTTTTTCAATAATTAGTTACATTATCGTAATCGATTATAATTTTTTATGGGTTCAACTTAATTAATTATTTTTTTTATCCAAATATAGAAATGTACCCAAAAATTTGCATTTGTGCTTTGTCATTATTTGAGAATGTATTATTCAGTATAAAAATGTATAATAGATTAAAAATTATATAACTTAATAATTTTTCAATATTATTATTTCTCTTCTTGTAAATATTTAATATATAAATGTAAATATAAAACATGATAATGAAACATTAATGTCAATATACACGGAGTGATTGATTTAACACTAATTTTCTTGGAAACTATTGAATATTTTTTTATTTCTTTAAAGAAAAAGTTGTTTGATTAAAAAACTACAATTATATATAGTATAATAATTATTTAAATCCCTTCAATGATCAAAAACTTAAACTATAATTTTTTTAATTGGGAATCCCTATTTTTAGATTAAAGATTTGATAAAAAAATAATTTTCAAACAATTGTATTACATTAATATTTTTATTCTATAAACCTTCCTTCTGTTATTACTCGTTAAAGTTTATCGATTTTTGACCAATTTTCAATTGATAATTAATGTTTAGCATTCATTAGTCGACATTTCTTCATAATGTCACATAAACTAGTTTTTATTAATAATTCTTGTTGCCATATCTTTGACATACAATGGCAAGAATAAATACTGATGATTATAGCCTATTAAATAGAATCATTGCTGCTTCCGGTATTATGAAAACCAAAATGGATAATTTCTGTTTTTTAAACAAATCATTATACAATTTTATAATAATTGATCAAATAATAAAAATTATTTGAAATTTTTTGTTATCATATATTACAATAAGAAAATTGGAGCTTCCATAATAAAAAAAATATAGTTTTGGTATTTTTATCTTCGGAGAGTTATATCATTATTGAACTTGTTTTATACATTACTGATCTACTAACATTTTTGCCCAGGTAGGTTTTTGGCGAATGTTTTTTTCTTAGTTTGAAGTACTAGAATTTATGTGTATTCTTGGGATCTGACATTCCGTAGAGTATTAGGCACTTATAAGTATCTAAAATTTTTTATTTTAAATTGTCTATGTTACAAATTGTAAAACTTCTTATTTAAAAAATGGTTTAAGTTTTCTTTTAACAAACCGTTTTTTTACGCTTTAGCGAGTTTTTGTTAATGTGCCAGTGATTAAGTTAAAGTATTTTAAATTATATACAGTTTTTCAAGAATAAATTTTCTGTAATATTTGATGGCTTACATTGTTGGAAGCTATTTAACAGTAATAAAAAATGTATTAAACTTTTATTCATACTTATACATATATAATCTCGTTGTGTACCACGATCATTTTGTATGCACCTTAAACTCATAAAAAAAAAATTATTCTTGGATATTAAAAAAATTTGATCAAAATAATTTGTATTATATGGATATCGTATTAATGTAGTTGGATATTTTAGACGATGGTTTTGGCAAGTGTGTGATCTGGAGGAGAGAAAAGGCAATTGATGATATCTTGAGGCGTAAAAAGGATTTTTGGATACTTTCTTTCAATGTCTAATGAACACAACGGATATGGTTACTGGGGACAGGATGAATTATTACCGTTCTAAGATAGTGGTAGCAAAAAATAGCGTCTGTAAAAATGTATAGAGATGAATTTAATAATTGGAATACAGTAAAGCAATAAATAAAAAAAGAAACAACTATCTATGGCTTATGTATTTAAAATATATAATTTACACATTACTAGTATGAATTTTAAGGCAATTAAAAAAATTACTTTTACCTTAAAAATATAAAGAAATTGAATTATAATAATTATGTATTTTTAACAGAAACCTACAAAAAAATGAAAAATTTATATTTTATTATTTTCTTATTAATGGTAAAATTGATCATTAATAAAGCATATTTTTTATTATTTAATAATAAAAATTATGCTTTAGACCTAGAATTAAAAGACAATAATTATTAAAAAAAAATTCAACAAAATTTTAATTGTATCAAAAGTTATAAGCGAGAAACAAATAATACTAAACAAAATAAAAAAAAAATCATTTTCAAAATTAATATTATTTTAATAGAAATTTAGTGGTTAACGATGAATTAACAACTCTATATATGTACATATGACAAGTGTATTTGCAGTAGAGCTATCAAATATTATTAAATATATAATGTATACAAGGAATACTAATGGACTTAATGTCATGTATTGAGTGTCATTGTGTGTATTTGCTAAAGTATTTTACATGATTGAATAAGTAATTAATATTAAATTCGTAAACAACACATAATGAATTTGATAAATAAATAATACAATAAATATTTAGTTCCATAAATATTCTCTGGGTTTTATTGTTTTAAATCGATTAGTATCTCTACAGAAAAAAAATAACATTTGCCTAATTAAACTGTTAGTTTTTTAAATTAGTTAAACTGATAATAATATATTACCAAGAAAAAATGTTTTATCATTAATTTGATAATACGCAACTGTCAAATGAATAATAAATACAGTTTATACATCATAACATTTTTTTGTAATAACTTATATCAGTTTAATATTTTATAATTGAAAAATAATTTTAATTTTTAGAATAAACATAGCTAAATTAGTATTAAGAGTAATCGGTTAAATTCAATTAACTTAAACAGATTTAATGGAAGTAAATATTTATTGTAAATAACATGTAGAAATAATGATAAAATTGGTGATATTTGAGCTAATAATAACATAATTTCTTCCACTTAATAATAAAAAAAAATTAATTATTTCCGAAATATTAATTCAAAAGTTGTTATCTATCTGTAATCTTCTTAATTAGATAATTTTCTAAAACTTATTAAGTGTATATAGTTGCCATTTGAAATATTCAAGTTCATACAATTTTAAAGAACCAATTTTTAAAAAGTTGTTGGATTGTTTTTTTTTTATTTGTGGTGTATAAGAAAATATAAAACTTTTTTAAAACATAAGTTCTTGCATTTTATTTTATTTTGTTGTCGAAGCATGTAATTAAAAAAAAACTTTAGAAATTATATTTTACCTACTTTATTTTATATTTTTGAAAATACTGTATTGGACGCATTTTTCGGAATCATCTTGTTTATAATATATCAATAATCTCATTTAGAATATCTTAGATCTAACTAACAACATTTTTACTTTTGACCCGTTTATCATTTCGTTGAAATATT